GGTGAGACTTGAGGCAAGGACTTACCTTACAAGATGTCAGAGAAGCATAGACTGAAAGCTGGAAGGAACGTTAGATGTTATCTATTCCAAGCCCCTCATTTTATCAGTGAGAAACTGAGATAAAGGTTAAATGTATTGCCCAAGGTCACATATGTAGTCAGAAGAGTCTAGATTTGAACCCAGGTCCTCTGCCTCTATGTACCATGCTAACTGTAAGGATCAAATGAGATAAAGCAATAAAATGCTTTATAAACCTTAAAGCTATAAATTACATAGCTTAATAGTGTTATCAGTTTCAACTATTTTTTATACACACATGTTCTGTATTTGAATTTGTCACATGGTAAGTATAGATCTACCACACACATCTCCTCAGTCCCCTCTGCCCCTCTGATTAGACTCTCTGACTGGAGGGCAGGGCCAAGGGCTCCAGGGTCTGTATTTAAAGATAGGGCTCAACACAGTTCCCCCCTTCCCATTTCCCACCAGCTACACTGCTTTTGGACTTTGAGACACTCCTTGATGCAGAGGCTCTTTGTTTTTATTTGTATTTTTATCCCCATGCCTGACACATAGTAGGTGCTTAACAAATGTTTATTGACTGATTGACTGGCCAACAGAATTTATACTTGTGAAAATGTTTTATTTCAAGGTAGGGACCAGGCCTGTGATATTTAATATTTGTGTGCATTTGTATGCATACAGACATACACAAATACATATATATAATACATAGTATTGTATTATATATTTGTATATATAGTATATATATAATTTATATTTGTATATATATTTATATGTGTGTATATGCTTATTTGTTGTGTATGTATGCATGCAAATATACATATGTACATATACATATACACATATACACACAGACATATATATATATATATATATATATATATATATATATATTTCCCTCCAAAGGCTCTCTTACAAAGTAGTGCTGGTTCCCCCAAACACGGACCACTAGGACCCTGAAGTCTGAGATCCAGCAATGACTGACCAACCCCCTCCCTGCCAGTCAACAATCAGCCAACAAGCATTTATTAAGGGTTAGATTATGTGTCAAGCACACTACTAAGCCCTAGGAATACAAATAAAAGCAGAAAGAAAGACAGTCTTTGCCCTCCAGGAGCTTACATTCTAATGGGAGGAAACAAAAAAAGGGGGGGGGAGGGGGGGACTAAAAGTTTCCCAGCAAGGAAGCATGGTAGAGAAAGTCTTGTGATGAGTCAGCAGTGCAGCCTGGAAAGGAATGAAGACATGGTTGGCCTGGACCTTCTCCATGTTGCAGCCATCCTTCTTTCCATCTCTTTGTGAAGAGAAGAGAAGCAGCACAAAAATTGCTCAATAGCTATGACAGCCAAAACAACAGTATTGGGAGGGAGGAAAGGATGAAAGGAAGGTGGGACAGAGGAAGGGGGAGAGAGAGAGAGAGAGAGAGGTGAAGAAGAAGAAGAAGAAGAAGAAGAAGAAGAGGAAGAAGAAGAAGAAGAAGAAGAGGAAGAGGAAGAAGAAGAAGAAGAAGAAGAAGAAGAAGAGAAAGAGAGAGAGAGGGAAGGGGAAGGAAGGGAAGAGAAGAGAAGAGAAGAGAAGAGAAGAGAAGAGAAGAGAAGAGAAGAGAAGAGAAGAGAAGAGAAGAGAAGAGAAGAGAAGAGAGGAGAAGAGAGGAGAAGAGAGGAGAGGAGAGGAGAGGAGAGGAGAGGAGAGGAGAGGAGAGGAGAGGAGAGGAGAGGAGAGGAGAGGAGAGGAGAGGAGAGGAGAAAAGAAGATGGGGGCATACACATGTAAACATGTGTGTAGAGACATGTGACTGAGTGTGTACACATGTAACTATGTGCATTGTGGAGCAGCATGGTATAGCAGAACAAGCACTGTACTTGGAATCAAAAGTTCTGGATTTAAATCCTGGCTCTGTCATTTACAACATGTGTAGCCATGGGCAAGCCCCTTTACGTCTTTGGGCCTCAATTTCCAAAACTGTGAAATGAGGTGATTAGACCATATGATCTCCATAGTACCTTCCAGCTGTAAATACTACATATATAAAAACAAGTTTTTGAGCATCCATGAATAATGAAGACATTTTTCACTGCCACATTTTCTCCTTAAAAGGTAAAAATCCAATAAATATACAAATGTAAACCACTGATTATATACAGTTTTATTGAATCCTTGATAAGGAAATACATTCTTGAAAAAGTAAGCAGAAGTAGAGATATGCAGGTCTCTAAGTCTAGGTAAATATGCATTTACATAGGCATTATCAATGGGTGCCTTATAAGTGAACGTGTTTAACTCACTAATTCACATGTGAATAATACATGCCTATATCTTTATGTACATATTCTGTAAGAAAATGGTATTTCATGGGTATATGCATATCTATTCTGTGTATGTATACAGAAATGTATATATCTATATACACATAAATAGATTAACTTCAAGACTCTTAAGATTAACTTTTAAGACTAACTTTAGACCACTTTCATGAATGAAGAACAAGAATTGACAAACTGAATGGAAACATGGAATGTTCAGACTTGCACAGGTACTCAGAGGACAAGTGACCCCCCCCATATCTGAACAAGAATCCTTTCCACAGCATCCTCAATAAGCAGTCATCCAGCCTTTACCCAAAAACCTCCATTGAAGGGGGAACCCCCTGCCTCCCAAGACAGCCCACCCTCGATGAGATGCCTCTAGCTGGAAGAAAGCTTCTCCTTACATCAAAGCCAAAACCTGCTTCTCACCAACTCCCAGTTTTGCTCCTAGTGCTACCCTCTGTGACTGAACAGGACAAATCTATCCTTCTTCTGCATGGCAGCCCTTGAAATAATTGAAGCAAGCCAATGTGTCACTACTAAGTCCTCTCCTTCACATGCTAAGCCTCCCCATTTCTTTCAAACAATGTTCATTTAGCTTTTTGTCATGCTGGTTGTCGTTTTTTGGATGTCCTCCAGGTTATCAATATCCTTTCTCAAACATGGCTCTTAGGACCAAATAGAATAGTTCAGATGTGGTCTGATGAGGGTACAGCAAAATCATCACCTTCTTATCCTGTTCTTGATGCAAGCTAAGATCGCATTAGCTTTTTGGGGCTGCCATGTGACACTGCTGACTCTGATTGACCTTGTAGGCTACTATTCATAAATTAGAGTTATGCTTATAATTTTGTCACCAAATACAAATATCTACAGATGTGTTTAAATTAAGATTTCTTCATTTTTTAAAGACTAGGTCTCTATCTCACCAAGACTGGAAGTGTAGAGGCCGTCACTTGGCCTGATCCATCACCAGAGTTTTGATCTGTCCCATTTCCAACCTGGGCTGGTTTGCACCTCCTTAGGCAACCTGGTGGCCCCCCACTCTCAGGGGCTCATCATATCAGCACTAAACTTGTTGTGGATGTCCATTCAGCTTAACCCTCTGCAGCTCAGAATTATGAGCTTAACAGATCCACCAATATGTCTCCCTGATGGCAGGGATTATAGCCATGTACCACCATACGTGGCAAAAATAACATTTCTGTATAATACTATAGTCATCATTGCCTGTCAAGGACAGGTGTGCCTGAATTCCACAGTTATTGCCACCACCTTCTATTTCCTTCAGTCACCATTTTTATTTTTAGTACTAAATTTGGTAAGCATCAACAAAAACATTTGGATAAACAAGATAAAAAGTGATGATGTTTAAAAAAAAACCCAGTAAGCTCCAAAATATTTACAACCTTAACATGCACACATTTGCTTTAACAAAATAATGACATCTTATTTACTTGTACGTCCCCTTCTGACTTTTGATTCTGTGTCTTTTTCTCGGGTTTTTGGTACGCTTTCTACGACGAGTTTCACATAGTTGCAGTGTGTATGTGATTGTTTTGATTGTTCTTTCTTCATTCCATATCACTTAATATGGGTGTCTTCTTATTTCTCGCTCTTCACACTTATCATGGTAAGTCAATAAATACGGTGTAACAAAATTCCAGCATGCTCATGTACCTCAATTTGTCTAGAAATTTGCTAATCATTATGCCTATGGCTTTTTTCTATTTTTAAGGTATGTATCTTAAATAATGCTATTATTAATATTTTGATACAGATAAGTCTTATTTTTCCTCTTAGTGGTGTCCTTAAGACATAGTCCTAGTAAGAGGTCATAGGCATAAAGAGTTTTGCAGCTTTTACAATCTATCACAACATTGCCTTCCCAAAGTATTTTAAATATTCACAACTTCCTCAGCCTTGAGGGAGTCACTATGCTTACAAAATGGTCCTATTATGTATACAGTATGGCATTACTCATAAGATTATTTACAGGATGGCATTAATGAGTGATTGCATTTCACAAGAATACTACATAAAAGAACCAACCTCCCTCCCCACCCCCAACATGCAATGCATTAGTAAAACTAATAGGAGTTGGTTTCTATCACACACTTTGAGAAATTTTCCTTCTAATAGACACACTACAAGGAATGTGCTGGTGTGAAGACCATAGGTGTCCACAAAGACCTCTAAATAGGTATGCCTCTGAGGGCAGTTAGGTATTCTCTGAATGATATTCTTACTCATTAGGGAATAGCACTCAGGTCACTTGATCATAGACAGATCTGCTTCCTACTGGACTAATAAAGGGGATACTGGTACCCACTTAATACTAAAAAACCTACAATGAGTGGGCCCCAGTGGAGAATTTATGAGGAGGAATGGACTAGAGTCACTTAGGATGAGAAGGCAGGGATGGGTTACAGTCTGTGGTGGTGAGAGTACCCCCATCAATGAGATCTCAGAGCCATTGCTGTATCAACAATATTCTTGGGAATATTGAGCTTACAGTTAGAAGATGAACCATGCTCACCTTCTGGTGGGTCAGCAATATTCCCAGGCCAAAGGAGGACCATAAAGTTCACAGGAATATGACTTTCACTTCCCCAATCCTGGTGGTTTGACTGACAGGATCCAAGTCAACCTGCCTTGGAGTTAGTCTAGCTAGAAAAGGTGAACACTGTTTTGACTCTCTGTTTGGGATTTATTAGATGCTCTCTCCTTCCCACTTTTCCACCTCTGATCCTCTCTGATCTCCCCGAGACAGAGGCTCTCTTCAATGCCAGTTGTCAGGTTGTTGAACATGGTATCCTTGCTCTCAATGACGGTGCTAGGGCATCTTGCTCCATTCCTTCTCTGAGGACAGTGGCACAAACAGTGGCCCAGGCCACCAATATGGGCCTCCGAGGCACAGACATACATGCCTATGGGCACTGCCAGGACCAAAGCACATACCACAACAATGATATGTATGATCTTCTCCCTCTTCTCTAGCTCACTGATGTCACTGCCTGTTACGAAGACAATGCACTGATCCTTTCGGGGTGGCTGGCTCTGTAGGCTGATGCATGCCTCATACTTTGTGGCTGGAAGCAGGTCATTCACCCAATAGGTGTTAATCCCAGGGCCAATAGAGACAATTTCTTTCTTGACAGCTTCATATATCCCAAAGTAAAGTGTGAACCAGGTCTCAGAAGGGTTATCTGTTACTGCATACCACTCAAGCACAATCCCATAAACAGTTTGCTTGGTAATCCTCATGTAAATGTAGGAATGCTCCTCCACAGAAGCCAAATAAGAAGAGGAAGAGGGCACAGTCTGAGGAGGTTGAACATGAAGGGAGATGGGGATAGAGCTGCTGCCCATGGAGTTGGTGGCCATACAAGTGTAGTTGCCACTATCTGCCAGATGGGCTGAAGGTATCACCAACTCAGACTGAATAGAGTCTTCCCCGATAGGAGAGGTAGACACTGGGAAAAAAAAAAACCAAACATCATTATGCAGGTCAGAACTCTGAACACAAACTTCACTGCTGGGTGCAGTGATGCTGACACAGCCCCAAACTCAACCCATCCTAATGATTATAGGCTTTGTACTGGGTTATGATATATGGTGTTATCTTTTAAATGCCATGTCACCCAGTTGGATGTCACTTTTCCAGAGGCTAGGAAAAGCATAGGTACTACCTGTACTAACTAAAGAACTGGGCCTGATTCCTATAAATATTTCAAAAGCCTGAACACCTGAACATATTTAACCAGGTTTTTCCAAAGAAGACTCTATGGTGAACCAGGAATTCCTGTATTGTAGATATTCCAGTTTCCTCATTCCTTACCTGAATTCTTAAAATACTTGGTTTCCTTCTTAGTTCAGCTCAGATGCCATCTTCTACTCCATGAAGCCTTTCCAGATCCACCCAATGGGCTACTAGCACCTTCCCCACCACAAAATTACCTTTTATTCATGTTGCATATATTTATATGAATAAATGCTGTCTCCCCCTCTAGAAAGTAACTTCTTGAGAGCAGGAGCTATAAGAGTATGCTGGAACCAGCTCCAGCTTTTCCAGAGTTCCACTGTTAAATTTTCAGTGTGAGCATTTACAACTCCAAAATCATATACAAATCAAGGCTTCATATATTGGATTTTTTAAGTGTCTAGACTTAAGAAAATGTTAATGATGCAGATTAAATATTTTTAAGTGTGTGCATACTTTTTTCCCCAGAGAGCCCCAGGTGTTAAACATTTACCAGCCCAACCTGTACTGCTCTATCAATATTATTTGAGCTCAGCAGGAGTACAATATATGGATCAGAGAATGAAGTCATCACCAGATTGAAGGTCTGGAGAATGCAGGCTAATAATAACAACAGCAATAATAGCTAGTATTTATATTGCATTTAAGGTTTGCAAAGTACTTTACGTCTATTATCCATTTGAGCCTCAAAATGTCCTTAAGGGATTCTTTTTTTCTATAGACAATGAATAAATGCTTTTCAGTTGATTAATTGACACACACAATCCTGAGATAAGGCTCTACCTGCTAACATGAGGATACAAAGTGAGAAAAATCAAGTATCAGTATGCTTCCAGTCATCCAGATATCTGGTATTATGTAAACCAAATGTGGAGGACTGACTGAGTTCTACAGATTTCACTAAGATATTCTAGGTGCCACACAGCCACAGGCTAAGGATGTACTGTTTCTCAATCCATTTGGATATGCAGGCATGAAAAATTATATGCACAAATCTGTCAAATCAACAACAAAGGCCAGAATACTCTGGACAGGAGCCCATGAAGACTAGGAAATAGCTCTGGCTTTGTACAAAATCTATTGTTTTCTGTGTGGGACTTTATATGCATTTGAGATGTATATGGTATATAAAATGAATCTTGTATGTGTTTATATGTATATATACATATATTTACACATATATGCCCTAAAAGATATTTTTGTACATCCATTCAATAGCATCGATGACAATAAAACATATTCTGAAACTGCAAAGATTATATGAGAAGAAATAAAGGACAAGGAGGAAGGAAAGAGGAAAAGAATCAAAGAGGAGAAGGACAAGGAGAAAAAGAAAAAAGGAGAAAGGGAAGGAAAAGGCACATTTACATATAAAGCTATATAAGTGTATAATAAAATCTCATCTGATCCTCACAGTAACCTTGTGAGGTAGTTGCTACTGTTGGCACCACTTTATAGATGGAGGCTCAGAGAAACTAAGTCATTTGTCCGTGGGGATCAAAGCATTAAACTAGTAAATATCTGGCAGGATTTGAACTTGAAGCCTCTTGACTCCATGTCCAGCACTTTGTTCTCCACATCCTAATTTAGTCTTAGCTCCCACTGCATTATTAACATTTTCTTAAGTCTAGACACTTTAAAAAACCAATATATGAAGCCTTGATTTGTACATGATTTTGGAGCTATAAATGCTCAACATGTACTGAATCAATTCTGAAAATGCAGTACTTTGGAAGTGATTGTGTGACATGGGAGACACTGGCACAGGACCACCCACTATGGTGTACCTATGTCAAAGAACGCACTGTGCTCTATGAGCTAAGCAGAATTGAAGTAGCTCAAAAGAAACGTGAGATGTGCTAATTTAGAGAATCCACCCCCAACGTTCACACGGACTATTTGTGCCCTACCTGTAGCAAAGCATTCTGAGCTCGTATTGGTCTGATCAGCCACAGTCGGACACACTGTAACTTGACTCTAACATAGTGATGTCATTGTGGTCCTCTTCAAGAATGAAGCACAACAACCAACCACCCATGGTGCTGCACATAGTCTTTACATTCTGCTCTTCTGATTTAGGTTTTGTTTCTCAGGAATCAGATGCCCCCATCTCCTTGTTCTTCCATCAAAGATGGAAAATCACGTAACACTTAGCCTGAGCTGCCTTCCTGCAGATGCTCTGAACAAAGCTAGGGAAGCAGGTTTTCATTTTGCAGTAGTGATAAAGGCCCAAGGCCAGCATTGCAGGTTCAACTATATTTTTGCACTCTGTGGTAACTAGCCACAGAAGAGGAGGAGGGAAAGGAATAATTTGCATCATTACTTTAACTATCCTTTACTTTATAACTTTACTTTATTACTTTAATTATCCTCCTGAGAAGACTGCCTGCCCCAATTCTACAGTGAAAAGTACTCACTGCTAATGAGACTTCTGGTTGACACTGCCTTTAATAAACCTTGCTCCATTACCTAACTGTAAATATCTTAAATAATCATTTACTGCACCTGAATTCAGGCCTAAGCACTAACTATCTTGTCCATCAAGCAGTTACCACATTTGGTATTACTCCAAACATTCATACAGCTATGCGGAGCCTTCCCTTGCCCCTGAGAAAAAGAATTAAGGAGTACCCTGGCTTACCATCAAATTCCTTCAATTTCTTCAGTGGATAAGTCCACACAATGTTTGGTAAGGGGCTGGCCTGTGCCAGGCAGCTTAGAGTGATATTTAGCCCCACTTGGATGGTAATGTTAGAATTAGGAGTTGACATCTTTGGCTTCATGCAGCTATTGAGCTCTACTTCATAGAAAAATTGCCCTGCCTTTGACACAGGGCCCCGGCACATTAGGTAGGAGTTCATTAGTATGACAGGGGGTCTGATGAATTTGAAAAACTGGACAAGTCCCTTTAGATGGCAGTCACACATCCATGGATTATTGTGCAAAGCCAGCACCACATTGGAAATCCCTTCAGCCTTACTGATGAGTTGCTGGCTTTTCTGGTACATGGGCCACTGGATGAAGACATCCTCAGACACCACCATAAGTTGATTAAAGGACAAATCTAAGTAGGTAAGGTTAATCAAATACTGAAGTGCTTGCTTGGGTAGAACATCAAGCCTGTTATGTTTGAGATCAAGGATGTTTAGACAAGGAGTTGCTTGGAATGCTGTCCATGGTACTGTACATAACCTGTTCCCCTGCAGTCTCAGCTCTTTCAAGTCTTTCAGATGCTCCAAGGTTTCCGGATGAATCACTGTGATGTTATTAAAGTTGAGCCAAAGGAATTCCAAGGCACTGTTGTTGGAAAAGGACCCATGAGGTAGTTCAGTTAAGTGAGAGTTTTCTATTCTAAGTTTCTTGATATCTTTGGGGATGTTTCCCAGGATCTTTCTCAAAGAAATATCCATGCACAACAGAGACCTGCAGAAAAACAAGTAGGTCTTTAGACATAGAATTCCTACCTGAAAGTAACATTAGAGAGTATCTAGTCCAAATCCCTCTCATTTTACAAATGAAAAAACTGAGGCCAGAGAGTAGTTTACCTAAGCCACATAATTAATAGGTAGCAGAGCCAAGATTAAAACCCTAATCCAGTACTCTTTGCATTTATACCACCATGCTACCTGTGACAACTGGCCTATTGCTGGGCCTTAGCTGACAGAACTCCATGTTTGACATGTTTGACTGACCCACCTATATACCAAGAATTTCCTATATACCCAATAACTGACTTATTCACTATGTTTAGGGTTAGTATTGCAAAGATAGCAAACTATTAGCTCAGCAAACTACATCTAATTCAGGTATGTAAAGTTAGCAATTGTTATTAACTACAAAGTCCTTTCAGTTAATTTGGGGGGGGGGGGTGCAGGGCTTATAGTCCAGATCATCCACTGATTGACTCCTTCCACTCATCCCTGTTGAACTGCCCAGTAACAAAAACCAGATATAAGTGCAGCAGCCTTAAAGATCTGGGCTCTCAATTGTGGTATACAGCCCACTATATGCCTGAGCCACTGATATGTGACTATGGGACTGAAGGGCAAGGGAACCACACACATTTTCATGCCTGTGAGTAATAAACTGTCTGACTCATAATCCTTTGAGTTCTAATGTTCCTTCTCAGTACCTCCTCACCCACAATCTCCTCACAATCCCCCAAGTAGGTACTAGAATATTCATAGGAAAAATGAATATACTGAAGAAGAAGAACGTTCTATTTCCTACAAAAATTCAGTCAATGTTAATTCCATTTGGGTAAAAACACATAATTCACAAAAAAATTGTAGCATTAACTGAAATGAATGTCCATAAGATATTAGGTATCTCTTTAAGAATACCCCCAAACTCCCATACAATAGAATTCCCAAAGTAAATCAATCTTCTAGGATCTCTTGGGATCCTGCCAACATTTCCATACCTGCCAAAGCTGTCATCTGAGCATATACATTCTGGGTTGCATTCAGGGTAAGCTGGGTTTGCCTCCAGAAAGACCAAGACTAAAAAGAAAAAGTGACACATTGGGCCCATATTCCTCTGTAAGAAGACTCTCTAGGTCTGGGATGAGACATGCTCCTAGCTTCTAAGCAGAAAATCCTATTAACAGTAATCCTCTGTGATATGGAAGTCAGAGTGACATGTAAACAGGTCTCACAGAGATGTCAGGTCCCAAGAAGAAGCCCTAGGTCACTAGCCCAGAGAAGACATTCAAAATAATTCACAATTTTTTTCAAATTAGAAATGTTCTCTTTTTTGCTCTCATTTTACTTGATTTTTCTGTAGCTTCAGATATAATTGATATGTTTCCTTCCTTGCTTCTGTGACACTGCTTTCTCCTGGTAATTAGATACTACTTATTTCACTGCTTCTTCTCAGCCTCCAGTTATTATCATCAGCTCATCATCAATTCCCATCCTTAAACATGGGAATCTCCTCCAAGGCTTTTTTTTCTCTATGTACACTTGCTGATCTCATAGGCTTCTGTGAGTTTTGGTGATCACCTCTATGCTGATATTTTTAATTCCGTATATCCAGTCAAAATATATCTCCCAAACTCCAGTCCTTCATATCCAGCTGTCTGCTATCCATCTCCACCTGAATATACCATCAGCACCTCAAACTCAGTATGTCAAAAACTTAACTTATCCTCTTCCCTCCTAAACCCATGCCCCTCCTCCAAACTCTACTTTTCTGTTGTGGGTGCTACTGACTGTCCCAGTCAACCAGATTTGAAACATAGGAGTCATCTCTGACTTTATTCTCTTTGTTCCCTATATCCAGTCAGTCACTACATTATACACTATGTAATTTAGACTTAAACTACGTAATTGACTCCTGATCGGTCTCTCTCCTGCCACTTTTTTGCCTTGCCGCTAATCCATCCTTCATATAGCGCCAAAGTAATCTGCCTAATGTACAGATCTGATCATGTTATTCCTCTGCCTTAAAATTTTCAGTGGTTCCCCATTGCCTGTAGGATGAAAAATCAAACTCCTTAGCCTGGCAGCTAAGGCCTTGCAATAACAATGTGGCTCCTACCTAGCTTTCTAGCCTCACTTAATATTACTCCCCTTTCTTTAAGGCTCATCTCAGATTCCACTTCCTTCATGAAGACTTCCCTGATGCCCTCTCCTGTTCTTAGTGCTCTCATTCTCTCTTAAAATAAATTGTTGTCCTCAAGGAGCTTACATCCTACTTTGGAGAATGTGATTATGTACACAGAAGAGTCATACAAGGTAGGGAGTAGTGGAATCAAAAGAAAAATTAGATGCTCTAGAAATATTTGAGGAGAGAATGAGAGTATTGACAGCAGGAGAGGGCATCAGGGAAGTCTTCATGGAGGAAATGGTTTGGTGGGCTAGATAAGAACACATTTGGCTCCATCTAAGACCTTACTTATTCATGGCTATGTCAGGGGCCACTGGGACTTCAAACCAAACCCATGCTTCTTAAATAGTCAATAGTGGGTAATTAGAAAAATATATTCCCTTTTTTGTCACGTCTCTGTCTCAAACTTGGACTGAGAACTCTTAATCTTTTGCCAGATTCAAGACTCTATCACTTTGAGCAGCTCCCAAACTCCCTGGACAATGGAACAATTTCAATTCTAATTTCTGGCCTTTAAAGCAGAAGCGTCTCTTTATTGATAGAAGCTAAGCCCACCTCTCTATTTATAGAGTACCAGATGACTATTGTACATCCTGTTGGGGCCCTCTAGTGCTCACAATCCACTTGACACCACAGCACAGACCACAGAGATGAACAACAGCTTAATTCAGGACACTGCCAACCAGTGAAATCCTAAGTAGGATGCAAACTAAGCTACTTACCTTCCCATCTTCTTAACCAATAGGCATAAGCTGTTCCAGAGTTTCAGGGTCAGACTACATCAATAAAAGCTATTTAGCTGAAAGATGCACCCTAGTTTGACAAATGATGCCACTGCTCCAGCATAGATAATTAACCGGATCATAGAGCCATAGAGATAGAAAGTTAAATCATATAGCTATTGAGTAAAAGAGCCAAGGCCAGAACTCAGTTCTCCAGATTCCCAGTACAGAACTCTTTCCCTTGCTTAAGATATAATATCTTCTTGCTGATGTCCAGGAATCAAACTAATACCCTTCAAATTTCCTTAAAATGCCATCTGAGAGGTGGCAGGATAGGGTAGTGGATAGAGTATTGAGCTTAGAGCAAGAAAGACCTGGATTTGAATTCTGATCACTTACTTGCAATATGATTGATCAAATCCCTCAATCTCTCTGACCCTCAGTTTCTTCATCTCTAAAAATAGGATAATAATAACATCTACTTATAATAACAGGGGCAGGAGGGAAGTAGCTATGTAGCACAATGGATAGAGTGCCAGGAAGACCCAAGTTCAAATCTGGCCTCAGACACTTACTAGCTGTGTGATCCCGGGCAAGTCACTTAACCCTCTTTGTCTCAATTTCCTCATCTGTAAAGTAAGCTAGAGAAGGAAATGACAAACCATTCTAGTATCTTTTCAAGAAAACCCCAAATGGGTCAAAAAGAGTCAGAACTTATGAACAACAACAAATTACAACAACAACTCTAAAATTTGGGTAATAGTAGTATCTTCCTCACAGAGTTAGTGTGAAAATGAAGTGAGATAATATTTGTGATGAAGACTTTGCAGACTTTCCAAACACCTCATGATTGTCAGCTATGACAATTCTACACACACATTGGTGCAGAGTAGTGTTAATAGCTGTCCCTGTGTGCCTATAATGGCCGCCAGCACTGTGCCAGGTACCAGAGGAATTATAAAACAAGAGGGCACTGTTCTGTCCCTACAGGAATATGCACTCTAAATGGAAGGCACACTCTTGAAATCATTGGAGAAAAATCAGCTGCTAAATCACATGGCAGAGGTCAACAGGAGTTCAGAGAAAGGAGAGACTACTGTGGTCTATGGTAGTCAGTCTACCAAGGGGAGTTAACTAAGCATCTATTATGTGCCATGCAAGGTGTTGGGAATATAAAGACAAAAGTGACAATCTCTGTCCTTGAGGATCTTATATTTCATAAAAGTGCAACTTGAAATGTGGCCAGGATTTTGGACAGTTACAGAGGAGGAGGGAGGTCAGTCCAGGAGGGGAAACAGCATAAGCAAAAAACATGGAGTGGAACATGAGCCTGGTGGGTATAGAGGACAGTGAGAACACCAGACTGGTTGGTTAATTGCAAGCTGTAGGAGATAAGGCAACAGTGCGAGAGTGGGAAGAAGTTAGAGATTTTGAGTCAGAAGCCCTCGATTCCAGTCTGAGCTTGGCCATTTTACCATTAGCTGTGTGACAATGGGCAAGTCACTAGCTTCCCAAGCTTATTCCCCACACTGTAAAATGAGGGCAGTAAGTCTTATTTTACCTGCTCTATCAGATGATTGTGGGAAATTAAATGTACGTAAATTGCTACATAATTTTAAGTTAATTATATAAGGTTGAAGATGTAGGGGAGAACTCAACCATGTGGCACCTTCAATGCCCCAATTTTCTATTTGCAGGAGAGCCCTGATGGACCTGATACCCCTCCTATGTCCTTCTTAGCTGCATTTATCTGCATGGTGGGCCAGATTGCCACCACTTCTTGAAATCTCTTCCCTTCTACCCTCAACCAAACAACCTTCTCTGTACTTATCCTTAATGGCAAGACACCCAGCAAAACAGATCCATTTACCCTTCACTAACATGAAGGCATGACTATCCTGGAAAATGCCAGAATCCTGTGTCTGAGTTATATCATCCCCAACTATTCTGACTCTGCTGATGATTTAGGAGGCAAATGGCCCAACCTTGAGATTACCATCAACCCAGAACAACTCCAAGTCATCTGTCCCTTGGTTTCTTTCAAAGCTCAACCCAAATGCCACCTCCTACAAAAAAACTGGTTCCCTCTAGTTGTTAATGCTCTCTCTCCTTGAATTTTCTTTATCTGTTTAAGTGTTGTATCACCCAGGAGAATAGAAGCTCCTTGAGGACAGGGGCTATTTTTTGTTTTGTCCCTGTATCCTCAATGCTTGGTATCCCCAACGCTTAATACAGTGTCACACATAGTAAGTCACTTAACAGATGATTGATGAATTTCATTGAGCACCAGGCTCAATGGAGTCATGTAGCAGAAAGTCATATCCTAGAGGATGATGGAGAGGGAGATGAGACCACAAGGCTTGACTTCCAGGAAGCTCTTGGTCATAGTAAGAATCGGCTGATCATCAGAGATGCATTTGATCACTTACTAACCTGTCTTCTGATGGAAACTCTTGAATCCTCAGTGTATTCAGCAAAGTGTGACTATGTAAGCACAATCTAAGAAGGACCTTGAATTAGGCGAGTTAAAATCTACTCCTCCCTCAATGGGAACCTGGAGGCAGTAAAGGGGAGCTCTAGGAGGAGGTGCTGATGAAGGGGATTTGAAAAAGTGGCAAAGGGTCTTTTCTGACCCTTTGCATAGCCCATGGCTAATGTAGTCCCATCACCCAGATTTTTATCCACAATGTCTGCAGGACAAGGAATGCTGAGGCCTGTGCCCTCCTTTACTGAAGCAAGCAGCTAGCACCAATGGAGCCAATGCAGCCCACAAAAGATGCATGTCTGGGCCCTAGCCACAGAGATGCTGGAGATACACAGCACGGGAAAGAGCCACCTGGGTTCAAGTCACCACACCGCCAGGAACCGACTGGGCAAACTTGAGTAAGCTGCAGCCTCTCCATGTCTCCGTTTTGTTTTCTTTTTTTTTTTCTGTCTGTCAACTAGAGATCATGACATCATATATTTAGAGTTGGAAGAAACCGTAGAAATTATCTAGATATACCCACTCATATTACAAGAAAGGAAAAATGAGCTCTTCGGGGGTGACGCGCTTGCCAAGGTCATATAAACAGCATAATAACAATCGTAAGCAGCAGGTGAGGATTTGAACTCAGATACTCTGACTGTAAATTGAGTGCTCTCTAAACTATACTATGCTGCCTCAGATAATAGTAATTTCTCCCCAACCTCAGAGCATTA